TTGCGGGCTGTTATCTCTGCTGCACACACATGCTTGTGTAAGTGTTCTTTAGCCTGTTGATTTTCATTCATAGTATTTAGCTAACTATGAAATATTTTGCAATAAATAAGTAATAATAAATGTGAATGATATCGAAGATTTTTTATTCATTTATTATTATTTTTTACCTTATTGGAAGCGAAATTAGGAATTGACAAGAATCGGAATCATAAAAATTCAAACAATGCCCAACCTTACCCATACCCCACATTTTTTATTGGCACATTTCAATTCACACTGTTTTAAACCCTTTCTTTTCTTTTAACCCTGTAAAGCCCACTGTTGCAGAATTACAACATCATTTTAACTATTTAAAAAAAAGGCCTGCAAATGTTTTTTTTTCTCAAGACCACATTTACATAGTTAATGGGTTCTATTGTTTGTCCTCACAATGCTATTGGATAGAAGAAGTGTTTATAGGTCCGGTCATCTGGCCATGAACTCACTCTACCTGCAAACTTCGCGTTGAGCTCATCTCCTTTTTTTGCATGACTGGATTTGTCAAGATTCAAGTAAGTAAAATTCCTTACATATTTTTTTTTGTGTTTATTACAATGTCTAGAACACATACATATTTAGTTATTTTGGAAAACATTAATCAAATTTGATTTAGAGCTTGTTAAGTCTATGTTGTAATTCTACAACGTTGGGCCAGAGTGGTAGTCAAAATAGCCTGTGCTCCTTACACATTACATAAGGACACTGCACTTCTCACATGGTCACAAATTGAAATTTAAACTGTTAGATGATTCATTGTAACTAAGTTCTAAATGTGCTTTTCTGTTAAATTTGTACTTAGTTTAGCTTAGACCATAATTAAACACAGGAATAAATTGTATGTGGTATTTGAAACTCCATCATCTAGAGCAGTATCTGAAACTCCCTGTATCTTTGTAGTTTTTTGTTTGTTTTTTAACTTCTAAATGATCCTGAGTTTTTTTATGAGTGTTGCCCAAGTAGCAGTTTATAGCATTGGGAGATAGAAAAACAGGTTCTGAATGTTCTGGATTTTTTGGGGGGATGCCTGTTGCATTGTTCAGGGACAGGTGTGAATGGTCTTGAATATGAACCTGTAAGTGCTCTGGGGGGATGCATGTGTTCCTTTTAGTATGATAAGTAGAGAGCATAATAGGCCAGCCAGACAGTATTGTTTGAATGTAGTAGTGGAATTTTGATTAGCATTTGCATTGAAATGATAATACTTTGATGGATAATACTTAGATCTCTACCCTCGACACATGGTCTACCACCCTGTCTATTCTTTCAGTTTATCTACTACAATATACGACCCATATGTATTATTCACTTATTTATTTATTTTTTTACTTTTTCCATTTCAGAATGCCACCAGCGCAGAAAGGTCATCTATTCAGTGTGCAGGATGTGATTGCTGCAGTCCAAAATGGAGAGAGCGATTTTGAAATGGACTCAGATGACACTGATGCAAGTGACTCAGAGAATGAAGATGCAGGTGAAATGGACAAAGAAAACCACCAACCCATTGACTGCCCAGCCAATGATGATGTGGACATCAAGCCCCAACCAAAAAAACACACCGTGCCCCGTGACAGGTTTCGCTGGCTGAAAAAGGAGTTTATCAGTCCCAATACTGATTTTTCTGGTTCAGAAATCACCAATGATGCCACCACCCTCCTCACCCCACTGGAGTACTTCCAAACGTTTGTGACAGAAGACATGATTGAGGCTCTGACAAGAAACACAAATGAGTACAGCTTGCAAAAAAATGGAACATCTGTAAACACCAATAATAAGGAAATTGAGAAGATGCTTGGTATGTACCTGAAGATGGGCCTAATGCAAATGTCTGGAGTCCGTATGTATTGGGAGACAGACACACGGTACACCCCTGTTTCTGATGTGATGTCCCGCAACAGATTCCAATCTCTGTTGACTTCATTACACTTTACAAACAACTTAACTGTGTCAGAGATGGAAAAGAAGGACAAACTCTGGAAACTCAGACCATGGCTGAATTCATTCAGGGAGAGATGCCTGCAGGTGGTACCTGAAGAACACAACTCTGTGGATGAAATGATGATTCCTTTCAAGGGGAGATTCAGTAACATCAAGCAGTATATGCGTGGCAAGCCACACCCATGGGGGTTCAAACTGTGGGTGAGAACTGGAATCTCTGGCATGCTGTGTGACTTTGATGTGTACCAAGGGAGTGTAGATGGAATACGACAAGCCAAATCTGAACTTGGACTGTCAGGTGATTTGTTGGACTCATTTGCTGCCAAGTACAAGTTCCCCATGAAATCCCACCGCTGGTACATTTACATCTTCTGGCACACCATCATCCTTGCTGTGATTAACGCCTGGCTCCTCTACAAGCGGGACTGTAAAGCTCTGAAGATGACTAAGAAAGAGATACTGAACAGGAGACAGTTTCAGGCACAACTTGCAACCTCTCTCATCCTGGTGAACACACACAACACAACACCCAAGAGAGGGCGACCATCTTCAGGGAAGACGAACACATTCACACAGAAGGTGACATCAGGGAGCCCTTTGGATCCTCAGAAGAGACCATCCTCAACAGATGTGAGTCCCCCAGCCAAGAGGTCATCGGACCACCCCCCACTGGATTTTTTGATCAGTACGATCGCTACACAGCATACAAACTTTTACTCCAAAAGCACGCATATTGTGTATTCACACGTTTACCTCCTATTTCTTTAAATAGAACAGAACCATAATTTCTTTCATAATTTTCTCATTACGGTGACAGTAAACTTCTGTGTTCTGTCTCATAATACATTTATCCGTCAGTTTATTATATAACATATCTGCATTAGGTCACAGTAGAGTGAGTTTTGAGCAAAAACATTATGTATTAATCTCATACTGTCACGTGCGCTGACTTTCTGAAAAGCCCTGCATGGATAAAGGCGTGTGAACCAGGATCACGAAACCCAGATCGTCTCTATTAAGCGGGAGCGCTGACAGTGAAAGTCAATTTCTGATTTTATTGTTGTTTATATTGTCATGTTGCAGTATTTTACTTAATAACAAATATTTTTATTTTTGGTATTTTACATGCTCTGTTGGTGGTTGGTGGGGTAGCGGGGGGATATATATTTTTTATCGCCACCAGGGATAAAAAATAATTCAGCAGAGGATACATAGACCAGAAGGGGGGAAATCCCCCCCCCCTACAAATCGCACCCTGCATATAGCCTATCAGACGTTATGTTTATTCATGAAGGATGTCGTAATGGTACACCGTTGTGCACATATGCAAACATCAGATGTTACATTTGTTCATGAGGGATAATGCATTAATACGTTGTATGTGATGTCAGTCTTATGTCTTGATTTGTCTTGTCCTTTTAAGTTTTTTTCTCAGTGTTCTTTCTCATGTAGAAAAGTCGCAAGTTACATTGTAACATTAATTAATTTATTCTAGCACAGTAGATATCAGTAGAGCAATACTGTATTGAACTAAAGAACTAATTAATATGTGGTTAAATCTAGAGGTCAACATTCCCGCATTACTTTTAAAGGCGAAACACACGCTTGTTTGGTGATTGGTGCATTTTTTTTCAGTGTAAATAGTTCAATCCAAAAATATTGCTTAGTGTAAAACAGGTTGGAGATTAGGTTGTCGACTCGTTAAATGATAAGCTGTTTCCTCTAAAAAGCTGTTTATTCAACGTAGTGAAGCCTCTCCTCCATTGACATCCATTAAAAAAAATGGCCTCTGGTCTCCTTTCCCACATACTGGCAAACCGGAAGCGTTAGCATTAGCCATTACGCTTTTTTGGCTAAAGGTTGCAGGCTTGCCTTCCAGTGGCTTTGCGTGATTTCCCCCCCATTCATCTCAATTACCCCCAACCAAACTCACCGCACACTTTAGGGGGTCTGTTAAAACTCAACTCAATCACCCCAACCCTCCCTCCATAGGGTTAGTTCAATATTTATATATAAATATGTTCAATATTTTTGAACATACAAGTTAAAAATGTTGGGAAAAACGCAACACTTTTAATTATGAAACCAAACCACCAGTAGATGACAGTTTTAATGAGCGAGTCATTAGTCTTTCATTCAAAAGGCTGATTCATTCAGAATCGAGGCATCTGTCTTTATGAAAGGGTTACTGAATCATTGACTCACTTGATTCGTTCAAACACCACTGTGTGTTGCTGGGAGACACAACACTTCTGCTGTGGCTTTGCTTAACACAAAAACCAGGGCCGGCCCAAGCCTTTATGGGGCCCTAAGCAGAATTTTATTTGGGGGCCCCTCGGTGCCGCCAATACGACAGATTATTGTCAATGCTTGATTATTCGCACACTATAAATCTAACTCACCCATTATCAGTTTTATTTATTTTAGCTGTGTTGCTTACATAATACCAATGTTTTTACCTTTCTGTGATTTTTAATTGTGACAGTAGCAAACCCACAAGAGTGGTCAGGTGTTAATTTGCACTTTAACATTCAAAGTCTTACAGGACTAAGTGGCATACTTAATGTGGTGTACTGAAAAGTAGCTAAATAAACCAGCAGACAATTTATTTACAGAACAGAATATTGTTTTAACAACATAAATTATCATACACAGCAGCAAGCCATCTGTACATAAAAAACAACAACTCTTAATCTATAATTAGCTAACTGAGGCATAATGATATTGGAATATGATAGCAAAGACCCCAAAGGTAGGCTAAGGTAAGTAATGTTAAGCTGTTATCAGTACCAATTTTATGAAACAGAATTGTTTTATTACGCAGCTGTTCTCGAGTCGACAACTCACTGATTGAAATGAACCGTTTAGTGCGAGTCTCCAGTGAACTGAATTCACAAGTAAGAACAGGGAGATCTTGTGAGCGTGCGTGCGACTGATGCTGATAAAAGTAAGTTACTAATGTCGAATTTTAGGATGAATTATTATAACTGAAAATCAGATTTAGGTCAAAACTGTCCGTTGTTTGTGAACTAAATCTGCTGTAAAGAGTGATCTATTTAAGCCCACTGAAATGCTTGAATGCAGACACATCAACATCAGTGTCTCTATGTTTTAGGTACAAAGATTGCAGCTGTTCTCGAGTCGACAACTCACTGATTCAAATGAACCGTTTAGTGCGATTGATGCTGCTAAAAGTAAGTTACTAATGTCGATTTTTAGGATTAATTATAACTGAAAATCATATTTAGGTCTAAACTGTCAGTTGTTTGTGAACTAAATCTGCTGTAAAGGGTGATCTATTTAAGCCCACTGAAATTATTGAATGCAGACACATCAACATCTGTGTCTGTAAACATTAAAATAACACAGACTAAATAAAATAATTAATGTGCGTTCATATTCCCCGCTGCCGTAACGTTAACAGTTTTATTAAAATGCTACACATTTAGCCCTATATGACGTCTGTTTTTATATTGTTTGTCAACAGTATACATTTTTATATCGTTTGGATTAACTAGCAGAGTAGACAGATATGAATGTTTATTCATCATAACCATACTGAAAATAAGTAAATATTGTTAGCTGATGCTAACTGTCTAGCTAACAAGCTTGCTGGTGCTAAGTTGAGGTAATTTTTAGATATAAAGTCCAAATATTTTTACTCAACCACCTAGATAGAATACATCTGGGGAAAAAAGAAAGGATGTGATGTTCAGAACATGGTAAATACAGTAATTATCAAAGCGGAAAGTGATGCCCTCTGGGGGCATTTGGCCAGGGGTGTTTTTACACCACAGACAAGGTTTGAGAAGAAAAAAATCATTATGAAAATATAATTATATTTTCCTTAAAATGTCCTTCCTAACTTCAGGCCTTGTTCTCATGTCATATATAACTGTGCTGTTCTGCAAAACAACAAGCTTTAAAACACTTTTTTCTTACTGGGGAAAATCAGATGGTCAGATCAGTTTTCTCTCAGGTACATCAGTGTAAGCTTCACACTGAACATTACTACATCACTCTCCTCAACGCAGTCCATATCAACAACTCAAATATATCTCGACTCCATTTAGTGGTTATTTTGGGAAAATCCCAGGTATTTTGAGCAGTAGGATTATAAAAAA